CACGAGGGGTGGTCTTGCCTAAATCTGTGAAGTCTATCGACACAGATTCAGCAGGGCCGTCAGGTATGGGTAAGGGTTTGAGCAGTCCCAAAGGAGGTCTACGTTGTACCTTATTCCTTTGGCAGAGCTCACAGGTGTCCACATAACGCAGCATCTCACTCCGCATCTCCTTCCAGAAGAAGCGCTACGACAGGGCTGCATAAGACTTTAGCAACCCAAAATGTTCGCGGGCATCATGACACTCTGACATCAGTAGTGTCCTGAGCCGCTGGTCCTAGGATTGCACAAGCGCTCCTCACCTCTACTGTAGGCATACAGTAAGTCTGAACTCAGAGCATAGCCTGGTTCAGAATTAGGATCTACTTGCAGATTCCTGACAATGGGGTCCGAAAGTCTCATCCTGAGGCAGTAGACGAGCAATGGTCTTACAGGTCTCCTCTCCAAAGGAGTGAGTAGAGTAGATCAGCGCAAAAGAGTCAGGCCTACGAGAGAGGGCATCTGCAACCTTACTGTAGCAGCCCTTCTTATGCTTCAGTTCAAAGTCAAACATGTCAATGAACTGAATATACCGTGCCAATTTATCATTCAACTCTCCCTGGGACTTCATCCACTGCAACGTGGAGTGATCTGAAAAGATCTTGAAGTGCCTTCCCAGGAGAAAGTGCTTCCAATGTTTAAGGGCAAAGACAAGAGCATATAGCTCTTTCTCGTAGGTAGAGTCCTTGAGCTTTCGAGTCTTGATCTTCTTACTCATAAACTCTACAGGCCGTCGACCATTCCCATCGTCCTGCTGAAGAACTGCCCCAATGCCATACTGACTGGCGTTAGTGGTCAGGATAAATGGCAAAGTGGGGTCAGGTAACTTCAGCACAGGCGCACGAGTCAAGGCCTTCTTGAGTCGTGTGAAGGCCAACTGACAAGGAAGGGACCAAAGAAAGGGAGTATCTTTCTTTGTTAGGTTGGTCAGGGGTGCAACCACTACAGAAAAGTTCCTGGCAAACTTTTTGTAGTACGAGGCTAGACCCATGAAGGACCTGACATCCCTTACTGTCTGTGGCTAAGGCCACTCCTGAATAGCAGCAATCTTTGCTGCTTCAGGAGCCAGACCATCTCCAGAGATCACATGCAGGTAGATAACAGAGGGAACTCCAAAAGAGGATTTCTCTCTGTTGATCTTGTACTGGCTGTCACATAACGACTGAAGGACAAGAGCCAAGTGCTCCGCATGTTCCCTGACAGTTTTGCTGAATACCGAGATGTCATCCAGGTAGACAACCATAAACTTGTCCAGGTAAGGCCTGAAGATGCGGTGCATCTCTGTCTGAAGGGTGCCCGGGGCATTGCAAAGTCCAAATGGCATGACCAGGAACTCGTATGTCCCATACCTGGTCTGGAAGGCTGTCTTGTAGGCATCCTCCTCTGCCATCTCAATCTGGTGGTAGCTAGATTTGAGGTCGACTTTGTTGAACACCGTGCAACCCTGCACCATGTCCAGAAGGTCGTCGATCCTAGGAACTGGCTTTGTGCTCTTCCTAGTGATCTTGTTGAGACCCCTGTAGTCAATGCACATTCTGAACTCGCCATTCCCTTTGGGCACAAAGAGAACAGCTGCACCGAGTTCAAAGTGTTGGGTCTGATCCAACCCTTGCTGGTCAGGGTCTCAAGCTACTTTTTGAGCTCCTCGAGTTTAGCAGGGGACATCCTGTAGATGCAGCCCTTGGGAGGGACCGCTCCAGGCAGCAACTCGATGTGATGCTTGGTTGGCCGGTTGGGTAACCCAAAGGACTCCTGCATCAGATCAGCATACAGATCTACCACCTGCTGTATCTCAGGAGGACAGGAAACAAGGGGAGCATCTGTTTGCTTGACCAAAGCAATAAACAGACGCTCGTGGTGGTACTGGCGTGAGAGAGCATGAAACTCCCTCGCTCTCAGGCAGTAGCAAAATGTCTTAGGGTGGTGATCAGCAGCAATCATGCATGGCTGATACACACCCTATCTATTAGGTAGCTCAACCTTGGGATCTGCCAGTCGATCCTTGGGTTAACTACCTTCAACCACTGCATGGAGAACACCAAATCAAAGGGTAGCTCAGGGAAAATATAAAAGTTCAGACTGTGTTCGAGTTCTCCAGCGTTGTCGAAGGTCACAGGGATACCCTTGACCTTCTCCCTGATGCTCATCACTGTAGAGTCACCAATCCTCACCAGCAGCGGTTGCTGCAGCTGCTGAACTTTCATGCCCAAGTGCAGTTTTTTAACCGCACTAGGAGACATGAAGTTCCTGGTGGCCCCACAGTCCAATAGCCCAATGATCCTGGTGCTGTTGATCAGGGGCCGAAGCATGATGAGATCAGACTTGCACTTCTTTTGTTCCTTCAGGTGGAGGAAAAAGGCTGCAAGTGACTGGAGCTCATTCTGCCCCGGGTCCTAATCCGGGTCAGGATCCTCATAGCAGAAGGATGCTGCCCGCACCGTCCCCAAACAAACATCATCACATACAGTCTCGACTGAAACAGCTGCACATTCACCTACCTGAGTAGATGAAGGTGCAGCACTGGGGGGAACTGCAGTCCCCAGGGTCTGTTTCAGTTTTTTGACTGACCTGGGCCTGGCATGTAAGGGCGGTCCTTCAAGAAGTGTTGTCCCTCACATCTCAGGCAGACCCCCCTTTCCTTGCGTCTTCTCCAGACTCCCTCCTGGATCTTGAGGTCAAGCCAGGGGAGTGTGGAGGGATTGAGAGGGTCAGCTGGCATCTGGACGTCTTTTGGCAGGTTAGGGCGCTGGGAAGAGGAAGGTCGACGTCCCTTATCCTTCCCCATGGCACTGGCTGAGGCTGTGGTGGGGGAAACCTTCTTCTACTGCTGCAGAACTCCCAAAACAGCCTGAGTGAGGGCTGTTGCAATATCTGGATCAGGAGAAGATCCAGTCCCAGCTGAAGGTGCATCAGCCTGGGAGTCTGAATCTGAACCTGATGCAAACCCCACGTGAGTGAAGGCTGCCTTTCCCTTTCTGCCACCTCGAGGGAAGGCACGTTTCCTCCTGTCAGAGGATGGGGCCTGGACATGAAGCTTTGCCTCCATGTCCAGGGCTGCACGACCAAAGGACCTCCAGTCCTTGTGCCCAACGCTGTACAGTGCAACAACAAACTTCTCAGGCGCCGCCCTGCAGAAGTTGGTAAGCAGATCATCTGTGGACATGACCAACCCAGGGGTGGAGGTAAGTTGCTCGAACTCAGCAAACAAGGCGTGCAGAGTCCCGCTGTACCGCTGCTGTCCCAGGCAGGCAATCCTGTCAACAGCCTTGCGGGCCCGCTCCTTGTCTGCAAATCGGTCCTCCAGGGCCTGCAGAAGTTTGTCCACCCCAAGCCCAAAAGCCCAGTCCTCCATGGACTGAGGTTGAGGTAGCCCACTTCAGTGCGGGCCCCTCCAGCAGTCCCAGAACAGTCGCCACCTTGGTCTGTTCTGCACAGACAAAGCCCCTCAAGTAGGCTTTGGTTCCAGCAGCCCAGTCCCCAACATCGGTCTTGGGGTCAGCACCCCTAAACTTGTTGGGAGCAAGGATCTTAGGACCTCTGTAGTCTCCTGCAGTAGCAGCATCATAGGTGGCCTTTGCTGAGGCTTTTTGGGAATGGGATGGTGTGCGGGAAGAATGCACAGATCCAGGGGGAGATGAAGGAGGTGTAGAAGGTGAAGGTTTGGGTTTCAGCATAGGAGCTGAGGGGCGATCAGCTTGGCGGCTGACAGCTGAGCAGTCAAGTTCTGAATCGCATCCAGAATCTTGGACTGCTGATCTGCCAAGTCGTTAACCCGACGCTCCAAACGAACAAAACGATCATCCCAGTTCGTAAAATAGGAACTGGTGATCTTGTGCTCCAGAATTATCGTCTCTGCCAGGTGTTTAGTCACCTGTGCACAGCGGTCATCTGTGAGCACCTTGTCTAGCTGCTGCAACAGATAGTCTCTTCTGGAATTATCTGTTGCAACTTCTAGCTCAGCTGCCTCCTGCCGTTCCAGTTCTACAAGACCGTCCTGTTGCCGCCGCAACTGTTCTTGCAGCTCCTTTTCCTGCTGAGTAGCAGTCAGAGGTGGAGAAGGAGTGGAGGTTGAAGGTTGTTGACCTTCCACCTTCATCACAACTTCCAACTGTGGCTGCTGTTGAGCCCCATGGTCAGACATTTTCCTTTTTCAAAATCAAATCAAAATAAAAACAGCAACCCGAGTATGCTGCGATAATCAAATTCCTTCAGACACTCTGGAATCGCTGCAAAACTCACACACTGGAACAGGTGGGTGTATAGGCAATCAACGGTTTGGGTTGGAAGGGTGTCTCTGGGGTCAGGTGTCAGACAAACTATGAGTCCAACAAAATCATGCACACGATTTCCTTTTACTAACCCTGGACCACACTGGAGTTAGTAGAGTCAATCCACTACTCTTCCAAGGACACACTAGATTTCCAGAGCCCACTAGAAAGCAAGGGTAGTCTGTGGGAATGACAGAACATGGTTAGTACAGACAAAAGAGGTCAACCAAACCAAGCGATTCAGACAGACACCCTGTACCCTGACTCAGACTCCAATTTGGACCCTGATGACTCTGGCGGCCATACCCTAGGGTATGGCAAAATACAGTATTCACTGTATCCAGTGAAATACTAGAAATTCAAGTCTGCGATTCTGCAGTATTGACTATTTTTGAATTGCGATTCACTGGGGACTGACAGAATTGAAGTTATGACAAACCCTAGTTAGCACAGGTTTCCAGTATAGAATTCACAATTTTAGTATCCCAGAATAATCGCCATGCAGTAAAGCAGTCACAGGACAATTTTGGATCCGAAAGAGTCAACAGAGGATGAGAAATGAGCAGAGAGAGGTAGGCAAGAGATGGCTATGACTGTCATGCAGTTTGCGATTTCCACATCCAGTCACTGACAGAAAGATAGACCATTATAATTCACTAATCTAATCCTATCTGGATCGCTATGCAGGTAGGTGCATGGAACGGACTCACTTTTAGAGAATCTTGCAGGTGATGATGACAATCTACATATGGCAGATGATACCCTTATCTCGCCAGTTCCTTCCAGATGTTCCTCCTGATAATCCCACGCGCAGAACTGCTTCAAACTTGTTGATCCTCCTCAGGATCCTGTAGCGCTGCACCCCCTAAACTCAGATACACTGGATCTGGTCCTGTGGCGCCCAGTATGCCAACACCACAATATCTCGCCACAGTGCCTGGTAGCCGCTGATGCTAAAAATAGCCCCAGATGGGCTTATTTCTCCTGGAGATTGATACAGACTGTCAATCTCTGCCAGCGCTACCCAGGGATGATGCCGCTTAGGGTTCCCTGATGTCCTCAGGGGTAATTCTCCACTCTGGGGTAATTCGCTGTACTACCCTCAGGGTTGGCTATGGCGAATTAGCCCTGTACTCGCCACTTCCTGACAAGCGCCTTGACAGGCTCAGTGCGCTTGCTCAGTTCAACCACTGAACACTTGAAAGTCTTCTTCCCTACTGACTCAGTACTGGGGAAGATGAATCGCCATGAAACTCTCGCCAGTAGATCGCCAGATGAAGAAGATGCCTCAACACGCTCAACCCTCAGTGTCCCAATTCCAATCCCAGCTCTGATACCAACTTTTATGATCTTGGTTGTCTGACGATTTTTACCGCCACTCGCACACAGACAATCTCATACACGCCCATACATGCATAAGAGAAGGGGGAGAGGAGACAGAGTCCACACTGCACACAAATGAAAGTAGGCAGCAGAATACAGCTATGCACAGATGGGGAGAAGACACACAGTGTTTCTCTCTCTCTAACGAACTCCCAACAACCAATCACAAGTAGTCTGTGCGAGGATAACAATTGAAATTGCACTGATGATGAGCCAACTCAAACAATTATCGTAACAAAGTTTGTTCCAGTATCTCGCCACTCTCAGAACTCACACCCCACTCTCTATCCTACACCCAGTTAGTAGCGCCACATCAGAATGACCTCCCAGAGGCCAGCGCCAACCATCCTGATGAAGAACTGGTCCTGCGATGAAGTCTTCAGTGCCGCTGGACAACTCTGACGAAGGAACAGACAGCTATGGCTGCCACCACCCACGAGTACACAGTGTACAGCCTCGATGTAGCCCGCCAGACGCAGATACCCCAGGGGTAGATGCGTTGAGGATGACCCAGCTATGGCAAACTCAGACTGGGCCGGCTAWGGCTGCTGTCAACGGCAAAGTCTCAAGATGCCGCCTACAGACTCTCACCGCCACCAACTTGCTTGGCTTCTCCAACTCTGCTTCGTGAGAAATGAACTGCCAAAAGTCCTGAACCGATGGGCCTAACCTATCTATAGACTACACTAGACCTAGACAGGACTGACTGACCGACCGACCGGTACCGTTTCTGTTTCAGCCTCTCAGCCTCTACCGGACCCGGCTATAGGCTATAGGACCGTCTATCAGTATAGGCCACTTAGGGCCTGTCTGTCCTAGGGGTAGCCCGGGCCTGCTATTCGCAGTTAGGGTAGTAGTAGGAAATTCAGTTAGTGTTAGGTGCTATATTTTCCCAAATTTGCAGATATGTCCCTCACGAATTTCCTCACAGTTAGGTCTCTCGGTAAGCCCTCAGCCAAACAAAATTACGACTCTAACCCTACCGGTTAGTGTACAACCTCGCAGTCAGTCTCCGCAGTCTAAAATCAGCAAGTCATTGCAAAAGTATAAATAAAGAGGCAGCGTTCAATCATTCATTCATTCTGTCTGTGAGTCGTGCAGAAGCGCTGTCGGAGCGTCTTGTGTATGAAGGTAGGTGCCTGTAGGAGACAAGGCCGAAGAGGAGGAGGAGCTTGTGTGTTGGTAGAGGTAGGAGAAGGCAGCCATAGCTGCCTGTAGGTTAGTAAGAGAGCGTTAGTGTGTGTTATAAAATATCACCACAACTTCCCCTATTTTACCCAGATGAGTAGATCCAAAGTGTTAGTGTGTGTGTGTGTGTTGTGTACGTGTGTGGGACATCCAGGGAAATCAAGGGTGTGTGTGCGAACAAGTTACTGGGAGTGCAGTGATCGGTCATAGCCAATCGAGACAAGTTTGAATCTGAACAGTGTTCTTGGCTTCGTTATCTTTGAGCTTGTGTTGGCGCAAGTCGCCAGCTTGATCGTCATCTGTTTGCATGCATGGTGAGTAACGAAGAAGACAAGTCCGATTGCATTGGTATCACCCACTGTTCCACCTTTGGAGTGAGTCGCGTTCGCCGCCACCGTGTCGTCGTCGAGGACGATGTCATAGTCGTCGTCGTCATCAGCATCGTCGGGCGCTGAAGGAGGAGAAGAGCGCCAGGTCAGCGATCGTGCGCCCGCTGTGCGCCGCATCATCGCCGTCGTTGCCTGACGTGAAGAGAGAAAGGGGGTATCCCGTTGCAGAGTGTGCCGTTGTTTGTGCGCCTCGCTGTTGCCGCGCACTGCTTGCTATTGTGTGCACCTAGTTGCTCATCGCGCGCCGCATGTTGCCAGTTCCTGCGCGTTTACATTGCACGCTTCTTCCCGTGTGCGCTGCCCGCGACCTAGCTGAGGACCCCCGTGCGTCGATTGATTGGTGCCTCCTGTGCGCCTCGCTGTTGCTGCGCGCTGCTTGCTATTGTGTGCCCCTAGCTGCTCATCGCGCACCGCATGCTTCCAATTCCCGCACGTTTACGTTGCGCGCTTCTTCTCGTGTGCGCTGCCCACGCACTAGCTGAGGACCCCCGCGCGTCGATTGATTGGCGCCTCCCGTTACCGTCCCCGCTGTGGAGAGGAACCGCCGCTGCCACCGTGAGGGAGGAAAGCCACCCCGCCATTGAAGACGGCCAATACATTGTTGAAGACCACCGGAGAGGGAGGGCCGCCGTGCTGTCAAGAGTGGAGTGCTGCATGAAGAAGAAGATCGCCACTCGTCAAGAAGTCTGCTGCGCCAAGGTTGGAGAAGGGCAGCCATAGCCGGCAAGTTAAAGAAGCAAGAAACGACGACGACGAACAAAGAAGAGAGAGAGAGAGAGAGAGGGAAAAAAATAATAAAAAATGATTTTGCAGCCGAAGAAGCAAGTGGCGGCCATAGCCGCCAAGCTCGAACCTTGCGACGAAGAAGAGAGAAAGGAGGAAGGAGAGACGGAGGAGGAAGAAGGACACCATAGCCAAGGTGGGCAAATAAGGAGAGAGAAGGGGGGAAAAGAAGAGGAAGGTTGGCGAAGGAGAAAGGTCAGCAGCCATAGCCGAAGGTCAAAGAAGTTGACCGGCGAAGTTGACTGTGGTGTTGACCAAGTTTGACCAGTGTTGACCGAAGGCAGCTGACCAAGACTTGACCAAGCTGGAGTCTGTATAATTTCGCCAAGCCTTATGCCTACCCCCTTGAGCTGAGGATGTGCAGTACCCCTTGGTACTTGCTGAGTCAGTCTGTCTCTTATTTCTGCATCGAGTCACTTTTGCCTAGGCGATTGGACTTTGTGCATGTGGTCGTAAAGTTGTGGTGACCAAACCAGCACGGGCTGAGTAGGGCTTTAGTCCATGTCTGACGACTGACACATCTCGGGGACAAGACCCCCAAGGACAAGTACAGACCAGCGGGCTGCTCAGTGTGGCATGGTAGGCCCAAAATCCGACCTGTAGGCTGCACATCTAGCTGTTAAAGTCTTGAGAGGACTAGCTGATCACATCGTCCTAACTACAACGTTAAATAATTCCGGAGTTATGGGGGTTCTCCTTAAATGCCACCTGATCCGCAGTAGAGTTCTGCAGTGACAGCCTTAGAAGTAGATCAGGCTAGCGACCCTAGCTGACAAGGTCTGATCCAAAGAGAAAGCCAAGTGGGATTGATCGATGGTGCATGGTGCACTGGGATCTGCAAAGTTTCGGTGACAGTAGTGGCGAAAGCTTCCGTCGGCCGTGGTAACCTGGATGGATCAAAGGAGAACACTTTGTAGTCCTTTAGAGAGTCAGTCTGTGGGTGGAAATCTAAGTGGTGAGGAGTGGAAACTTTCACTAGTTGTGCATCTTTCACCATGGTGACCATGCGAGCAGGAACAAGTACCAACCCATATAGCAAAGCTCAAGAAGAACAAGTCGTCGCCCTGCTGAAAGAAAAACAAGAAAATATGGAAGAGTTGATAAAGTAGGCGAAGATGTTGGCCCTATGGAGGAGCAAAAGGCCAAGCAAAAACAGATGGAGGAGGAGATGGAGAAATGGAAGACAGAGCACGAGGAGAAATTGAAGGTGGTGGACGCAGAAGCAGAAGTGGAAGCAGAAAAAGAAGAAGAAGAACTGGAGGAACCCCTTCAGAGAAATGTAAGAAGAGAGGAGAGGGTTGAATCCAGTGACGCAAGAGAGACATAGGCTAAAATAGAAAAGATGGTGAATGAGTGGGTAGCTGTAGCGGTACCCTTTCGGCCCAACAGTGAGGCCGGACCTGTTTCAGGCCATCGGCCTGACCCTGGTCTAATACCGGGTTACTTCGGCCTGGACCAAAGCCAGTATATCTCTCTGGCCTAGGCCCAAACCGGGCTGGTCATTCATTCATTCATTCGTCCATTGAGTCGGACTGGACCTTCACTCAGCTGCTGCTTCTCGTGTGTTTCCATCTCCTCTCTCTCTCTCTCTCTCACCATCTCCGCACGTGCCCTACGCATGTGTGTCACATTGGTATTGGAGCGGAGATTCGAACMACTGCTCCCTCCCTCCCTCCCCCTCCTGATATCCCGACATCACAGATAGTTATCTCCACATTCGTTTCTGCAGCTGCACCTGGTCCTGATGGTGATGGGTACATTCGCCACCCAAGCTGGCGACTTGATCTACTTTGACCATATGCAAGAACGCCATTTCAGCAGACTCCATTACTTCACTGTTCCTGCTTCGGTTGATTGTCGACGTATCCCTACCACAAAGCTGGTTCCTGCAGCTCCTACGAGAAGCTCCTACGAGAAGCCATCGCCACTCACGGTAGAACGGGGGCTTGTTCCTCCTTTCCACAACCCCAGTCGCACATCCTCCCCCCCCCCACCCCGCTTCCAATTTCGTCGCCTGTGCACCTGGCTACCTCTCAAGCCCAGGTGCAACGATCAACTCCCCACTTCCCAGCTCCCACCCGCCCAACCCCTCTCCCACCACGTCGCTTCTCCCCTCTCTCGATCCCGATCTCAACCCCATTGTGTTTCACCTTGCGCACCTCCCTTCCTCGCTGTCCCCCCCATTCCCGCTCTTGCCTCCTGATCAACTCCCTCCCGCCATCCCCACTTTCCCTTCCCTCCCGCTTCATCCCGCTCTGCCGTGCACTCTCCCCGTCTTTCCTTGACTATTCCCCCCCCCCCCCCACCACTTCGCTTCTCCCCTCTCTCGACCCCGATCTCAACCCCATTGCCACTCACGGTAGAAAGCTGGCTTGTTCCTCATTTCCACAACCCCAGTTGCGCATCCTTCCCCCCCCCCTTCCCTGTTTCCAATTCCTTTGCTTGTGCACCTTGCTACCTCTCACGCCCAAGTGCAACAATCAACTCCCACTTCCCAGCTCCCACCCGCCCAACCCCTCTCCCACCACGTCGCTTCTCCCCTCTTTCGATCCCGATCTCAACCCCATTCTGTTTCACCTTGCGCACCTCCCTTCCTCGGTGTCCCCCCCATTCCTTCTCTTGCCTCCTGATCGACTCCCTCCCGCCATCCCGACTTTCCCTTCCCTCCCGCTTCATCCCGCTCTGCCCTGCACTCTCCCCGCCCTGTCTCTTATACACATCTAGATGTGTATAAGAGACAGCTATCAATATAGGCCACTTAGGGCCTGTCTGTCC